GAGCTAGTTTTATCTTGTTGGGAGAATTATTTTTTTTCTTAATAATACATACATATATATTATATATATATATACACATACATACATATATATGTATATATATATGACATATATAGGGAGGGAGAGAGAGAGATTGAGAAGGAGGGAAAGAGAGAGGGACAGAAAATGAGTGTCTTCCTTTGGTCATTATTCTTCTTGGAGTATAAGCCTAACAGTGGGATCTCTGGATAAAAGAGTATTCACACTTTAGTCACTTTCTTAGTTTAATTCCAAGTCTCCCAGAATATTTGAATCAATTCATAGCTCCACTACAACCTTAGCCACTCATTCTGCCTTTACTCTCCAGTCCTTTCATCTTTTGTCACTTGTTCCTTGTCATGTCCAGCCCTAGATCACCCCATTCTTCTCTTGTGCTATTTCTGCTTATGTAGGTCAAAGACCAGTAATGATTTGGAATAGATTTCTCCTCCTTGTCACAGCCAAACTCCTAGAAAGAGCTATTTGTTTGTTGTCTCTAGTCTTATATTATTGCTACCTATTTTCATTTCTAATCTTTCTTACTAGAATGTTAGCTTATTGAGGACAGGGACTACGTTTTATGTACATCATTTTATCCCTATATCAACTGGCTTTGAGTGTTTCAAAGTAGTAGGTACTAAAAACATACATTGAAGCCAAGTATGTTAATTCACATCTGTAATCTCAGCTACTGGGAAGACTGAGGTTGGTAGATCTCTTGGGTTTAGCTCTTCTAAGCTGCAGGGGGCTAGGCCAATCAGGTGTCCAAACTAAGTTTAACATCAACATGGAGCCTCCAGGAGTGAAATTTGTTAAGTTACTTAAGAAGAGGTGAAGCAGCCAAATTGCAAGTGGTGCAGATCAGAGTTCTTGTGACAGGTACTAGAATTAGCCCCATAAGTACAGCCTCTTCTTGCTGCTTGTCCTTTTTTCTTGAAGAGAACCAAGACATCAGGAAGGTGATGCCATGACATGTAAGTGAATTAAACTCAAGTGAGGGAGGGCTGTGCAAAGTCACCAGCCTCACTTTGTCTCTGGAGTCATCTGGGTCCAGTGGCCGGATATAGATCTGGACAACTGGAGATGGCCCAGGATGCAGTGAGGACCCTTGGCCTTTTTCAACCTAAGATCTTTAACAGGTCTCAATTTGACTGAGGCAAAGCCTATTCAATGATTAAGGCTTAAGAAGAAATGAGGCAAAAAATAGCCTCTTAAAAATAGATTTGGGAGGGGAAGACCCTCAGAGTTTCTGGCCAAAACAGAAACAGTTGCTATTTACATTCACCCTAAGCCAACCAGGGCCCAAACAATGACCAAGTAGGGCTTGCGTTGGGGAAAGAAGGAAAGAAAGAAAGAAAGGAAGGAAGGAAGGAAGGAAGGAAGGAAGGAAGGAAGGAAGGAAGGAAGGAAGCAAAGCAATAGCTCCTTCACTTTTAGTCTGAATGAGACAAAGAGACCCACCCTTAATATGTGTGTAGAAGTCTCTCTGTGTCTCTTTCTCTCTCTTTCTGTCTCTTTCTCCTTACCTCTCTTTCTCCATCTCCATCTCTATTATCTATATCTATCTACATCATCTATAAATGCACATACATGCATGCATACATATGTTGAATGAATTAATTTTGCTACATATGTCCCTCTATGCAGATGATTACATCTGAACTTTTTCTCTGAACCTATGCAATAGATTGCTCATGGTAGAATTGAATTCCTGCCTGAAAATTTCAGTCTGTGAGTTATTTCACTTGCTATCTTTAGAATTGAGATCATATAGTGTTCTTTGACTTTGACCAGTTTCGATCAAGCCTGCCTGTGACTGAGGACGTCTTGGATCAAGGGTGTCATCTGGTTAGATGACATCTGTACTAGAGTTGGTTTGAAAAAAAAAAGACAGTTTGATATCCCTTTAAATTTAGATTGTTCATGTCATGAATTTTATTATCCTCTGCATAGACGTGAAAGGTCACTAGAAACCAAGAGTTTTTATAAAAATGGAGTTGAAACTGAAAAGAAAAAGTTGACCTAAGTCCCTCCAAACCAATCCCTCTTAGATTTTTTTTTTTTTGGTCACCATGGGGGGCGGGGTTTAGGGGAAGGTTGGTGGCAACAATTGTTTTTGTGAAACTCTTTGGTTTTGACTGTGACCTTTACCATATACCTGTTCTTGGGGTTGGTATCATCTAAATGGAAGAAACCAGGGTGGGGGAGTAGAGGAAACATTATAGGGGAACCTGAAGGCTGGGCTCAGACTTGGTGCTTTAAGGAAAAGCAAGAAAGTAACATTATTAGATCAAGCCTGTTGCTATAGTCAGAAAATGAAAATTTTTCTCATATTTTTACAACTAAAAAATTTCCATTGGCTCTGATCAAAATTGTCAACAACCCTTCCCTACTTCTAGTCATGTTGGTAACTCTGTACTTCCCATGCCACTAGGTCAGGATGGCATATACACTTGCCTATAGAACACATGCAGAATTCTTCAAATCCTTTTTTTCTTCCTTAAAACAAACATTCCCAGGAACCACCTCCTTCCCACTCCCTAATTTGAAACATGACTTAGAAACATGAGGAGGAGTTTGGAAGTCAGCTAAGTTTTGGTAAATCTCGTTTTGACTGGCTTGAAAATCACTAGGTTCAATTGGATCCATTCAATGAATATTTATTAAAGGTTTACCACACATAATGAAGCATAATAACAAAGATTTAGGCTAAAATTCCACTTATTTAACACCCACTTGAACTCAGGTAAGACCCTCATCCCCAGTTTCCGCATATAAATGAGGGGGTGGCCTCTAAGGACGATTCCAACTCTAGATCGTGGCCTGATGATGGGCACTGGGAATATGAAGACCAGAAATGTCCCAGTCCCTCATCTTGAAGAGCTTATATTCATTTGGGGGGTGGTGAGGTAATCATATGCACCCAGAGAAATAAATCCGATGTAATGTCAAGAATGAGAGAATATTTATAAGGGTGGGGTGGGGGAGGCATCAAGAAGGGCTTTAAGTAAGAGGTATAATGTTGGGTGTGCTTTGAAGGGAGTCTAGGCTGTAGAAATGAGGAGGGAACACACACCAGACAGTTACAAAGACACTGAGATGGGGGCTAGAGTGTCCTTTATGGGGGACTGCCAGTAGGCCAGTGTAGTTGGAAGGTAGACTATAGTATGGGCATAATATGTGATAAGATTAGAAAGAAAGGCAGGTGGGAACAATATTATAAACAACTATTAATGAATGGGCTGATGCTTTTATATTTTCTCCTAAAGTCATTAAATAGCCACTGAAGATTATCAAATAAGGGAGTAACATGGTCACATGAAATATCTGTTTGGCAGCTATGTAGATGTGAACACTATTCTTCCTTATGTCGTTGATTATTTTAAAATGATGTTGGGGATGTTGTTTAAATTCTTCAAGTTTCTCTTCAGTCAAATAATTCCTGTTCCCTTCTTTCTTCCTAGAGGCATTGTGAGGACTAATCAGATTTTTTTTTAAATTAGGAAAATACCCTGTGATATCACCATATCATCCCTAATATCACCATATCATCATTGATATCACCTTCAACTTGACCCACCACTAGTGAAGATCATGACTTTAGGTACTGGAAAACCACAGATTAAATAAGATATAGTCTCTCCTGTGGAGCTCACAGTTTGGTGGAAGGACTTAATGTATTCAAAAACAAATATAATACAAATGTAAGGTTGGGGGTAGATTGAATCCATCCATACTTCCTTAGACAAACAACATTAACAACTTCAATATCACTCAGAGAATTTTAATGTGTATGTACTAGTTAAGAGCAAAATACTTGACTAGAGTGTGACTTGATTGTATTCAGGTTGACTTCTCATTTTTATTGGTTTCATTTCCAAACTCATTCGCCTTCACTCAGTATCTGGACAGAAGCACAGAGTTACCAAAGGAAGAATCCTGACACCTTTCCAAAAGGGAAAACTGAGCAAATGAAAAAATCCTTCCCTCACCTTTTCCTTGGCCCCATTGAATCCACTGTGCCCCTTGAGGTGGTATATAGTCTTTGGTCAAAGCTAGGGAATTCCTTGGGTCTTTCCATTAAGTATAATTTCTGAAAAAAAGCTTGTCCTTTGTCCCTGGCCCAAAGATAGACTTTTAAAACTCTGGAAAGTTATGCCCCAACTCTAGAGTAGAACTTTGGGGGAAACCTCTAAAATAAAGGTTAAGGATGGCTCATGTCTCTTCAGAAAGACATGAATAGAATTCCTTGTAGAAAAGTTATTCAGTGTAGACAACAGTGGACATAAAATAGAAGTTATTTCTTCTTCCACTGTAAAATGCTTAAAACACAAAAGGACACACATTAACCTGTATCGTTTAACCCATCCCCTCTACTAGAGGCATACAGGAGGTGGGAAGGACTCCTGGCAAACTTACAGAACTGCTCCAAAGGTATTAACATTTACCTCAGATCTTGCTGTCATGCATCAATTCATAGTCCATATCTTCTGGCCAGAAATGCATGCTCCACACATACAAATAGGCATATAGATGCAGATGCAGATCCAGATTTAGCTATATAACAAAATAGCTACAGCTACAAGATAGATAAAGCTGTAAATATAGGCAAAGATATAGATATATAGGTATATAGAGATACATAGGTATAGGGATAAAGATATCTTACCTTTCTCTTGGGAAGGAATGTTTAAATACTTTGTGATGGCAAATGCCATCTTGTTGGTTCACAAGTGACTAGCTGCCTAATTGCATCTAATGGTAGCTATCTCTGGGATAGGGGAGGGTGGATGGAAGAAAAAAAGGAAATGTACATGAAAATTTTGTTGTATCTGTGAAAGAAATAGCAAGTTGTGCATGGTAGATTTGCAGTTTCGTATGTAATCATCCTTTTTTATTGTACTATGTCATAGAAATGCTTGTTTTGTTCCACAAATATGAAAAAAAAAAGTGACTATCTTTTTTCTTCCTTCACCATGCAGGAGATGCAGGGACCCCAGCTAGTCTGGTCTAACAGAAAGAACACTAAATTTGAAGTTGTAAAACCTATATTCAAATCCCAATCCTTCCACTTCCTTTTGGTGAAACTTTGGGTGAGTCACTTTACCTCAGTTTCTTGATTTTTAAAATGAAGAGATTGCTGAAACAATGCAGACAGATTCCTCCTCTCCCCCTCCTCCTCCCAGAGAAGAAGATGTAGATAGAAGCAGCCAAACAGTAATATAGCAACTAGCATTTATATAGCACTTTCAAGTTTGTAAAGCAAAGCACTTAAAAAGTATTATATTATTTGATCCTCAAAACAACCCTGGGAGACAGGAGGTGCTATTATTATTCCCATCTCACAGGTGGGGAAACTGAGGCAGACAGAGGTTAAGTGACTTTCCCAATGTCACATAGCTAGTGTCAGAGACCAATTTTGAGCTCAGGACTTCTTGACTCCAGGTCCAGTACTCTACCCACTGTACCTGCCTGCTGGAATGATTAACCAATCCAAAAGTTAGCACTACATGAATTTTGCTCACTCCTGTTTTTATCATTATCAAGCCTCTTTGTGACCCATATATACACAATATATACATATACATACACCTACACACATGTATGTGAATATAGATATATTCATATATATACATGTACATATATGTATGTGAATATAGATACATACATATACATAACTACATACATATATCTACATCTACATCTACATCTGTATCTGTATCTGTATCTGTATCTGTATCTGTATCTGTATCTGTATCTGTATCTGTACCTATACCTATATCTATATCTATCTATGAATGTCTGAGGTCTGCTTGTCCTCAGTGGGCGCATTTATAAAGGGCTCTTGCTCCTAGGAATAAAACAGGATAAATCATCGTAAGCCATGAACCCCTGAGATCCAGATCACATCTGGGCCAGGGCTGACATCTCATGAAATTCGCTCTATCTGACCTTTCAATATCTTCAGAACCAGATGAAGCAAAATCCAGGCTAAGGGCAAACATGTTTGGCAAATGTACTCTCAGCATCCTTTGTCTACTAGTTTGGCCTGTGTACCATCAATAAACATGCCAGAGTTAGATTGATTGAGTGGGGGGTACCATCTTTGTTCCTTGAAATCCAGGTCTGGAGTGGTGGAATCTGACTAATTTATCTCCAGTTCTATAATCTGTGATCCGTGAATAAGAGAAAGTGAGGCTGTAGTTATGGTATAAGGGGAAGAAAGGGAAATGTATAGAGTTGGAATAAAGCTTTTTAAAATCTCCATTCCAAGGCCTAATCACTATTCTCCTAGTGTAGACTTGTTGTAGGCAGTTAATACTATGGCTCAAGTCTCTGGAACTCTTTCACCTCTGCTTTGGCTGATATTATTTCTCACTCTCCTGTGGGCATTTCAGAGTTGGAACATCTGAATAAAAAAAATAGGTGAAAAGTTAATTTATTAATAAACAATAAATTAATTTCTAAATTATAAATAAATAAGTTAATAAGTAACCAAAACGAATTAATTAATTAATTTAGGTTCAGCCTTGTAATTTCATCAGTGTTGATAACTCGCTGGTGTGGAAGCTACTTCTACTATTACAGATTGTATATGAGTCTGTACTTTATCATCTAAGAGGGTTGCTAGGGTCCCTGAAAGGTTAAATGACCTGGCCCTCATCAAACAGATAGCATGTGCAGAAGACAGGATTTGAACTCAGGTCTTCCTGACTCTCAGGCTAGCACTTGATCTACTGTCTCTCTGGAGGAGGAAATAAAGGTAGAAAATCAAGAAGTGAAAACTTCCAGGGAAGCAGCATTAACATTTTAATTTAAAGAATGTCTGAAGAGAAGGAAAGATTCATAAAGTTATAGAGGACCTTAGCATTCACTCAGTCTAGCAGTGGTATTTTATAGAAGGTCTGGTTGAGACAGGATGGCTTGTCCAAGACATACGTACCCAGTGAGAGGGGGCAGCAGGATTGTAATCCATATCACCTGACTTCTAGGAATGTACTCCTTCCATTATCTTATGTCAACTACATAAATCGTGTGGGTTGGGCATCTAGTAGGCATTCAATAAATGCTTGGTGTTTAATTCATTGACTATGCAGGCAGACTTATGGTTCTATTAAATCCCTTCAACTTATAATACTGATTTTTGGTATTGTTAACCTCAAGTATTACCTTGTGACATCCCTTATTTTTATCTATTGCATCCCATCTTGCTGCATTTATTTATTCATTTATCTGTTTATCTATTTGTTAATTTATTTATCTGTTGATTTTTCATCCATTTATCTATTCTTTCATTTACTTATTTGTTGATTTACTTATCTATTCATACATGTGTGAATGAATTATGTACTTATGTATGTATACACATACATACACATACACATTTATGTATGCATGTGTGTTTATGTGTACCTCTCTCCATATACGTATATACACACATAGATATACATATATACATACACACATATATGTGTATGTGTGTATATGTATATCTATGTGTGTATCTGTGATTTCCTTGGTTTTAGGGAACGCTCAGGAAACCCTCTCCAATGATCAGTTCAATAGCTTTTCTGTCTCTTAGAGAGTTACCCGAGATTACCAGAGAAGTTATAGTTACTAAACTTCTGGATTTCTCACCTGATTGCAATGCAGACTAATTAATCATCAATTTCCAGAGAACTCTTCAGCCTGGAAGATTACTTCAGCTCTGCCCAAGGACGTGTGACTGCGAACAGCTCTCAGTGATCTCCACTCCATTCTGGGAATGTCTAACTTTGAGGTATGTTCCCTTTAATCAGCACATGTGGTTCAATATTCCCTAGGGGAAATCTAAGTCTTTGAGGGACAGGAAGGCAAGTTGCTCTTGAGGAAGATGGGCTTTCATGCAGATTCATTCATGCAACAAGGATTTATTAGATGCCTACTGTGTACTAACACACGGTGCTAAAGGAGATGATCCAAGAATAAATAAGGCAGGGTCTTGAGAGCCCTTGCAGAGTTAGAGCTCACCACCAGTAGAAGTGTCTTTGATTTTATGTGTGGGCAGTAGGTGGCAAGTGTGTCACCCTGGTTTTGATCTGAGTGAACTGTCTCAATGGAGCAGTTGCTAGGAATTGAATATGCCTAAGACGGTTGGTTTCAGCCCCATTGGATGGTTTGCTGGATGGCTGCTGCGGGCTCCCTAGAGCAGATCTTGCTTATGTAAGAATTTTGATTAAACACCTACAGACTCAAAGGTCTTTGATTATGTGCTGGCAGGGTATCTCCTCTTCCCCAACATCTCCCGTCCTTGCCGCCCACAACTCAGTGCACTAAATAGAGAAATCTCTCTTGTTTTCAAGGGCCTTGGGGCCCTGCATTTCTCAGGTGGAGCAGCCACACTTGAAGCTGATTTTTTAATGTCTTGACTTGCTGAACAGACCTTGTTCTGTCCACATACGTTGTGTGTTTTCCACAGGGCAGGCATGTATGTTTCATGGCATGGATCCCATGGTATATGTGTATGTGTGTGTGTGTCAAAGTACCTCTAAACCTGGTCAGATCAGCTGCAGCAGCAATAAGCCTCAAACACTTTGGGAGGTTATTATTTAATAAATGCTCTAATTGGTTCTGCCCTCATCCTACAGGTGCAAGGGAAGAATTCAGCCTCCCCTTTCCATTGGGATTGGACTTTGCCGGTCTCAACCCTACTCTGAGCCTTCATAAGTAAATAAATTCATGGTAGATGGCCATTTAGGTTTGGGTTTTGTTTTTTAAATGACTATTTAAAGTACCACAGGAGCAAAAGGAAGGTCAAAATACTGACGGCTTTGACCAGCAGCCAAGACAGGGACAAAGAGCTTCCCCCCACTCCCTCCTCAACACATCCCTCCTTTCACTGTGTCAGAGGGAAAATGGGACCCAGTAGAGAATGAGTTGTAAATGGGGGACCTGGGTTGTTGTAGCACTGTCTACTGTCTTTCTCTCTCTCCTGCTCCTTCCCTCACCCCCTTTCTCCTCTCTGTCTCTGTCTCTCCATCACTGTCTGTCTGTCTCTGTTTCTGTCTTGTTCCTCTCTCTCTCTCTCTCTGTCTCTGTCTCCCTCTATCTCTTTCCTCTCTCTGTCTGTCTTTGTCTCTCTGTCTCTCTCTTCTATCTGTCTCTCCTCTCTCTGTGTCTTTGTCTCTGTTTCTCTGTCTCTGTCTCCCTGTCTCTGTCTCTCTCTCCCTGTCTCAGTCTCTTTCTGTTTGTGCATCTCTCTTTCTGTCTCTGTCTGTCTCTGTCTGTTTCTGTCTCTATCTCCTCTCTCTCGGTTTCTTTCTCTCTGTCTCTCTCCTCTCTGTCTCTGTCTCTCTCTCTCTTTTTCCCTCTTTCTCTGTCTTGGTCTCTCTGTCTCTCTCCTCTCTCTCTATCTCTGTCTCTCTCCTGTCTCTGTTTTTCTGTTTTTCTCTCTGTCTCTGTGTCTCTCTCTGTCTCTGTTTCTCTTTATCTCTGTCTCTCTGTCTCCTCACTCTGTTTCTCTGTGTGTGTGTGTCTCTCTCTCTCTCTCTCTCTCTGTCTCTGTCACAGAAGAGCCTAAAGCTTCTTCTGTCTGTTTTTAAGAGATGTTTCCTACCTTCCTGTATTACCTGAGGACATGTTTCCCAGCTCTCCCCTACCTTGTTACTCCTACTCTAATTCTTCCCCTTGAAAAAGGTACATGAGATGATAGTCACCTGGGAGCATCTTTCCCAATTTAAATCCTCTTTAAAAATGTCACTTTTCTCTTTCTAGGACTGATCACAATACAAAGGTAGAGAGAGTATTTGGGAAGACCTGAGTTCACATCCTGCCTTAGACACTAGCTGTGTGATCCTGGGCAAGTCATTTAATTTCTGTCTGCCTCACTTTCCTTCTCTGTAAAAAGGAGAAAATAATAGCATCCATCTCCTGGGGTTGTTGTGGGGATCAGCTGAGATAATGCAAGTAAAATACTTTGAAAATCTTAAAATGCTATACAAATATTAGCTATTATTCTTATCACCTCTCCCCTGAACTATTATAATCATCTCCTAATTGGTCTCCCAGACTCCAGCCTTTCTTTTCGCTGTTTCATCCCTAAATTGATATTCCTGAAGCAAAATTCTGATCATTTTACTCTATTGCTCAAGAAACTTCTATGCTCCCTCTTGTATCTAGGTCAGCTATTTTTAACCTGGGATCTCTGGTCTCATTTTTTACAAAAAAATATTTTGATAATTTGAGTTTTAATATAATTGGTTTCTTTTCTAATTCTATATATTTTATGCCATGCATTTAAAAACATTATTCTGAGAAGGGGCCCACATGACACAAAAAATTAGGAATCCTTGCTCTAAAAATAGGAGCCCCCAGAGGTCCCTGGAACACACTTTGAGAACCACTGGATAGATGATTTTCTTTTTAATGCCTACGTGAAGTTTTGAAAAGGCAGAAGGGAACTTTAAACACAATTTGGACTCCTTTCAATTCTTCTTTCTAAGAATGAAACAATGAGAAGGAAGGCTGTTGTCAGGCTGACCAATTAGGATGCTTATAACAGTCCAGGCAAGAGGGGAAAAGAACTTGAATAAGAATAATTTGTTATTGTTGTTCATTCCTGTCCAATGACTCCATCTGGGGATTTTCTTGACAAAGATACCACAATGGTTTGCCCCTTCCTTCTCCAGATCATTTTACAGGTGAGAAAACTGAGGCAAATAGGAGTAAGTGCCTTGTCTAGGGTCATATAGCTACTAATTGTCTAAGGCCAGATTTCACATCAGGTCTTGCTGACTCCAGACCTGGTGCTCTATCCACTGTGCTACCTAGCTGCCGTTATTATTAGAATAATAGTAAACATTTATATAACATTTTAAGATTGTTCAAAGCATTTTACATGCCTTATCTCAATTGATTCCAACAATGACCCTGGGAGGTAGATGCTATTATTATCCTGATCCCTTATTGACAGGGCCATGGAGAGAAGGATGAGGAAGAAATTGTATTGCTAAGGGGGTTATTTACTGAGATGAGCTCAGCAAGCAGTCACAGAAATGGGGGTGGGGTCTGAGGGGGCTCTGGGTTTTGGAGACACCTCTCCCTCAATCTCATCGTGGCTTAGGGAGGGGGGAGGGTCATAGCAGTGCCTAATGCTGCAATACCTGGTCCCATTTTGCTAACCTGGCCTTACTTCATGTCCCCGCCTTCAGATTCCTACCACAAAAGACTACAGTGGGGGTAGCTAGGTGGTGCAGTACCACCAACTGGACTGTAAGGACCTTGATATTAGTGATTCTGCCTTATTCACATCTGTGTTCCCAGCATCTTGCTGGTGTCCTATACCAGGAAGGACAAGATAAATGCTTGTTGATGATATGGTGAAAAAAAATGGATGTTGCCGTCTCTGGAGGTGAGATAAAAGCCTAAGAGCATTCCCAAACAGGGATCTTTCGGCCAATGCCACCTCTTATTATCTGCTGCTGGATTTGGAGTCAGGACCAGAGTTTGAGTTCCAGTTTTCCACTGCTCAAAGTCACTAAGTCTCATTCCTCTTAGACTACACTCCAGACTGTCTCTTCCATACCCACCCCTAACCTCATCCTTCCCTCCAACCCCAACCTTTTAAGCTTCCTTTTATTATTATCTTTTCCCATTAGAGTGTAAATTCCTTGGGATCAGTGACTGTTTTCTTTTTTCCCTCTTGTATTTGTAGTCCCAGCAGTTTAGCACAACATAAGGATTAATAAATATTTGTTGACTGACTGCCTTACCTTCTATGGGCCTCAGTTTCCTCACCTGTAAAATGAGGGGGTTGGACTAGATGACCTTTAGAGTCACTTGCAGCTCCATCTAGGGTCCTGTGATCCTAAGGTAGGGGGCTAAGAGTCTCTTCTTTGGCCTATTATCTGCAGCAAATGTTGCTGCCTTAGACGGATTCTTTCATGTTGAGTCATTAGCATTTCCATACTAACGGCACGTCATTCAGAGAGGAAGAAATGATGTTATTACAGTGTAAGAAATCTCAGCAGACAAACTGTAGGCAAGCAGCAAAGCTGCAGGCATAAAATACAGTCATGGAGGTCAGTTTTGTGCCTCGGCAGTGATATGCCTGAGGGCGGGTAACGTTGAAGGTTTTTTTTTTTTTTTAAACATTTTTATAGTTGTGTTTTAGTATAATTGATTTTCTTTTTAATCATATATATTAATGTGTGTGTGTGTGTGTGTGTGTGTGTGTGTGTAAGGCCAAGAATCCTTTGTCATAATGATCACCTTACTTCTAAATTTCTTGGCCCCCATCCCCCACCCAGCTCAGCCCTTCTCAGTCCCACTTTACTTCTCTTGGTTGTTTAAGAAACCTTCTGTTTCTTAATTTTTAGTCCTACTTCCCTCCCTCTCCTCCTTCAACTTAGAACTACACTCTCCAGCATATGTAAAGCACTTTGCAAACCTTAAAATGCTATATGAATTCCATCTGTTATTATTCTTTCACAAAATCTCTCGCATTTCCTGCTCTCCACTTTCATAACTACCACCCAGGTTCAGGCTCACATCACCTCATACCTAGACCATTGCATTAACCTTTTCATTGATCTTCCTTCCTCAAGTGTCTCTTCATTCCAATCCACCCTTTGGTCATAGTGACCATCCCAAACTGTAGGTCTGACCATGTCACACAGCAGGTCTGACCCCTTCCTCCTCACTCAATAAACTCCAATGGTTCCCTGTTACTTCCAAGATCAAATATAAAATCTACTTGGCTTCCAAAGTCCCTCACAACCTGGCCCCTTCCTATCTTTCCTG